ATATATACATTACTCTTGTCAGCGTTAATGTAGGGAGGCTGGGAGAAAAAAAGAAAATACACAAACACATTTTCTTTCATTCGCTGATGTTTATTCGTTCTAACTGCCGTAAAAGTTGCGCTCTGCTACGGCACTCCTCTTATACAAGGCACAAATGTGTTTTAACCATTGTTGCTTCACACAAGCCAAGATCACCCATCAGCAGGAGGTCTTTCCCTAAATACCACTGGACGCCGCTACGCTCTCTATTAACTCCAATATAATCCTGTTTCTTGAAGGTCCAGCCTCCACGCTACATAATACCGTATTAAGGAAGAAAATGAAATCATAAATCTTTAATGTCAATATTTTATCGAATAACAAATATCCTTTACCGACACACAAACAGCTATCTTGAAAAATACGTCTTAGGGAATATATTCAACATATATAAATATTCTCTCATTAGCGGGAACACAGATTATACTTGTTCGCTTTAAGAAAAATAACTTAATCAATACATGAAAAACAAAACTAACTTTTCAATACTTGTTAAAAATATATTCATTGTCCAAGGTGCTTCTATTTTACATCTCTATGGCCTATGACATTCAACGCTTCACTTATCTCTTCTCAAAGACTCCTAAATGTGATGACTTTTGTCCGTATCACAAAACAGAAAAAATCACATAACTTTATAACGAAAATTTCCTTTCCTCCTCGGTACTCCGTTATATACGACAACTACGCATCCAAGAGGTCATGAGGAGCTGTACAATGTGAGAGTCTGGCTTGGAACTGTACACGGAGAGAGAGAGAGAGAGAGAGAGAGAGAGAGAGAGAGAGATACAACACATACTGCTAAAAATAACAACCCTCACAGTAAGCTTAGTACGTAGCCTAGACCTTCCACTATATCACAAAGTTATAAAATGAATAAAAGTTGTTACTGCTCCCTGGACAAGGCTGTGAAATACGAGGCTCTCACGTCACACCACCACGCGACACATTTAGTCCAGGACACCTAAAATATGACTCCAATTATAAAGAAGAACTAAGGTGAGCGACAGAGAGAGGCGAAGACATTAAAACTGGTTAAGACAGAGGCTGTAACTGTGTTATCAAATGGGTATAATGATCGGAACAGTGCAATCGCAATCCTACCATCTGGACACTTAATCAGATGCCTCTTGATGCTTCTTAGATACCTCCTTATGCCTCCTAATGTATCTTGATGCCTATTTATGCATCCTGATGCCTCCACATACACCCTGGCGCCTCCTAATACACCCTGGTGCCTCCTGAATGCCTTTTGATGCCTCTTTATGCATTCTGATACATCCTGATGTCTCCTGGTACCTCCTAATGCCCTCTGAATGCCTCCACATGCATGTTGCTCCTCCGATTAGTGATGAGAAAAGAAAAAAATACTTTGCAAGTTATGCTTTCCTGATATACAGTACACCTGGTTAAGAATGTACGACCTCAAAGGCAATTAGCGAAAAAAAAATGTATATTATTGTCTCCATAAATTGTCGGGAATTGAACCTGGAATGGAGAATATGTGGACGAAGAGCCGTTTTAAAGTCACCAATTTAGTAGAGGACTCACTACATACAATTTATCCATTATCATTCTCTCAAACAAAGCCACATAATGTTCCCCTCACATACACAAAATATACATACAAGAATGCATAAACACAATCCTGTAGGCGCTCTGGACTGGTAGCCAAGCCTATTCTGGTTGGCCCTGCCCCCCCCCCCCAACATCACTGCACCCTGGATTTATCACCAAACATTTCAGTGATCAGTGCAATGATTGGTTATCAAACAGTGATCCAACAGTGTATTCCAAGTTAAGGCACAAAAACAAGCGTAATTGACAGCGGTGTAATACCAGACTGCGGGCACTTTGTCGGTCACCTTCAAAGTGCCAGTGACAAGAACCACCGCGATGTTTACATATACCGTGGGTACAGTGCCGGCGACCCCTTAAGTGCCGGAGACAAGGACTCGCGGTGTTTACGACTTGATAAACATCAAAAGAAGTCTACCAGTGTCAGTGGCCCTCAAAGTGCCACTATTGAGTTTACGGCCACCGGGGACAAACACTTCCGTCCGTCCACAACAACAGATATCAACAGATGACCACCAGTTACTTACTCCCGACGCTCCCTGTACAATTTAAAGCATGGGAACGGTTATCCTGGCGGTAGCATTATCGTGTGACTAAAATCACCGAACATATTCCATGCTCGCAGCCGAAGACAAGGGCGTCACAAACAGAAGCCCATTAGGACCGTCACCCATTAGGACCACCACCCATTAGGACCGTCACCCATTAGGACCGTCACCCATTAGGACCGTCACCCATTAGGACCGTCACCCATTAGGACCTGGCAACCACAGTCCGATCAGTGGCTGCCAGATGCGAAGCTTGGCAAATAGTTCCTGAAACGTGACACATTGAGGGGCGTGTAGTCTTTCCTCACTGTCGGACGCGGAGGGGGTGTTGGCCTGAACTGCGCCCGTCTCGCTTGGTTGTTTTAGTCCCGGATGAGGTAGAGGCACTAGGGGTACGCATGGCGCTACGCTGTTTCTATTATATAATGTGTGGTATACCATCCACCTCGCGCTGCCCACCAGAGACGCTCATCAATCACCTCATTACCGCCTCACAGTTAGGTACCCATGTGCCAAGCTCGTGTTATTCGGGGATTATAACGATATTGACACCATTGATGTCCAGGACCAGCTGTTACTATCACAAGCTATGACCTTCCCCACACACGGTCAAATACCCTTGACCTTATCTTAACTGACTTAGACGTACCAACCACCTCAACCAATGCCTCCACACACACCTATCCTCGTCCCCAGCTGCCACTCCCACTCAAGTACAGAGACCCTACATCAAGACTACAAGGGCCATTACTGACTCTGTAGTGCGTCTTTCGGGCAGTGGATAGTTCACCATCCCTGACTGAAGTACTTAGCGTGGATGACGTGGACACCAAATGGATAAATTATACCAACACCACCACGGAAGCTCACCACCACTTTTCCCCGAGAAGTCCGTCAGATCTCACCCAGCTGACTTGCCCTGGATCACACCTCGGATCAAAAGACTTATGCAACAGAGAGACAGAGCCTTTCATCTCAAGGGCCACAACCGCTACCAGTCCTTCACAACAAAGCCATCCCAGGAAATACGCTGCAAGGAAGTCCCACTACCCAACCAAGAACACCTGAAGCAGACCAACAACAGTCAGTGGTATGGTAAGCTTAAAGAACTGTGGACTAAACAAAGACACACCCCTCCCCTCCTCCTTAGCCATCTCACTAATGTTGACGCAGCTGAGAAATCAAACAACCATTTCGCTACTATACAGACGCTCCCACGGCTTGACACAACCACTCTCCCTGCTTACCTACCAGCCCCCCTTCCCACTGACTTAGTAGAAGAATTTGAAGTAGCAAAACGTCTGGACAAACTGAAGTTAAGGCTTCCACGACCCCCACTGACTTACCAATGAAACTCTTCAAGGAGTTCTCCTGAGCTTGCTAAACCCCTCTGCTCCATCATCAATGCTTCTCTCAGGCAACCAAGATGCCCAGCTGACTGGAAGACTTCATATGTCACCAGTGCCCAAGTCAACCAGCCCACAATCCTTAAATGAACTACGACCCATTGCCATCACCCCAATACCCAGCTTAATCTGCGAAAGTTTCGTGTTTGACTGGACTTATGCTGATATTCAGGCGCCATAGATCCTCAGCACTTGGTAATATGAAAACTTCCTCCACCACTCACTGTCTTGTCAGCTTTCTCGACTACATATACCGCCATCTAGGAAAACGAAAGACGTCTGTGGCTGCTGCCTTCAATGACTTCACCAAAACATTTGACCTAGTCGACCACACTTTAATCATCAACAAAGCTATCGACCTCGGGTTTCGAAGAAGTCTTATACCTTAGTGACAGATGCCAAGCCGTACACTTCCGAGGGGCTGTCTTCACTTTTCAGTCACTCACCTGTGGCGTTCCCCAAGGCACCAATATGGGACCGCTCAGTTTCCTTATGCTTATCAATGATGCCCGAAGAGAAACCCCTGCTGGCTGGAAATATGTCGACGAGCCAACCATTGGGATCAGTGTCAACAACTAGGCTCCCGACTACACCGCCCTCCAGGATTTATTGAACAGTCTCCAAAACTGGGCCACCAACAACCACGTCACCATCACCCATACCAAGACCATGGTTATCCACATCAACCTCTCCTCCGACATTGTCCCACCTCCTTCCATTACTTTAGGTCCCAACACACTCCAGGTTGTGGACTCCACTAAGCTCCTCGGCGTCATTATAAACTAAATTGGAAACCACACGTCAGTGAAGTTGTCAAATCCTCCAGTTCCGCTCCACCTCCTCCGCCGACTAAGTCCCTGGGAGCCTGCCCCCGAGCTCCTCAATGTTTACTCAACATTCATACTTCCCAAGCTCACCTATCTCCCCACCTGGTCTTCCTCCCTAAATGCCACACAACATAAACACCTAGAAAAAGTGCAAAAGAGGGCATGCAAGATTATTCTCTCCCCTTCCTACTCCACATGTCAAGAAGCGCTCAACACACTGACCCTTTCGGCTCTCACTGATCATCACTGTGACCACATCCAGCCCATACGAGCACGTACTGATAAGAACAGCCCAGACCCAACCATTGTAAAAATTATCAACAACTTGTAATCAACCAATGTATTCACTCCCAGTCAATCTTACCTTTTTACACTGTCACTATGTTGAAATGCCCTGTAGTATGACCTTCTCCCCACCTAGTTATTATATATCATATTTGTATCACTTATGGTACTTGTACATTATTTGTCAATCAAGAGACCCATTCACCAATTGTGTAACTGTATATTTTCACCCTTCTGGCTGCCATGCTCTTTCAATAAACAGTTAATTATTATTATTATCATTAATCATTACACACACACACACGCACACAGACATAGGTAGACAGAGAGACAGACATACCTGGTCAAGATGAGGGCCTCCATCGACAAAACGTGAATGTAGAGACGTCTCATAACACTGATGTGTAAACTGGTCATAAGAGTGTAGGTCCAGAATCTTGTCTAGGTCCATCCTGAGGGAGGGAGAGAGAGAGAGAGAGAGAGAGAGAGAGAGAGAGAGAGAGAGAGAGAGAGAGAGAGAGAGAGAGAGAGAGAGAGAGAGAGAGAGAGAGAGAGGAGAGAGAGAGAGAGAGAGAGAGAGAGAGAGAGAGAGAGAGAGAGAGAGAGAGAGAGAGAGAGAGAGAGAGAGAGAGAGAGAGAGAGAGAGAGAGAGAGAGAGAGAGAGAGAGAGAGAGAGAGAGAGAGAGAGAGAGAGAGAGAGGAGAGAGAGAGAGAGAGAGAGAGAGAGAGAGAGAGAGAGAGAGAGAGAGAGAGAGAGAGAGAGAGAGAGAGAGAGAGAGAGAGAGAGAGAGAGAGAGAGAGAGAGAGAGAGAGAGAGAGAGAGAGAGAGAGAGAGAGAGAGAGAGAGAGAGAGAGAGAGAGAGAGAGAGAGAGAGAGAGAGAGAGAGAGAGAGAGAGAGAGAGAGAGAGAGAGAGAGAGAGAGAGAGAGAGAGAGAGAGAGAGAGAGAGAGAGAGAGAGAGAGAGAGAGAGAGAGAGAGAGAGAGAGAGAGAGAGAGAGAGAGAGAGAGAGAGAGAGAGAGAGAGGAGAGAGAGAGAGAGAGAATAATGACCAGTTGAATAAGCGGACTCTCTCTCTCTCTCTCTCGGTAGTAAATTCGATCAGTTCAGAGGTGAAGCGTACTTGGACCCCTCCACCCCACCTGCCCTCCGGAACTCGGGGAAAATTCAATCAGTCTCAACCAAGCCTGTCTGAGGTCGATATAGAGGTCATCCAAGTCATCCAGGGAAGTCATCCACACGTCATCCACTCAGGTCACATCCCCCTCCCCTAATGTAGTGAGTTTCTTATTCATATAAATATGATTGATTGTTATAGAGGGGTTAGTGGTCAGCATTTCCCCTCCTGACCCCTTTAAAATGACCCAGGGGCCACTTTTAGCTTAGCCTAACTTAGCCTTTGTCACTCACCTGTCACTCACCCCCTGTACCTCCCCTGTCACTAGTGAAGGGCCTGTACCTTGTAGGCTATATGACCAGCCCCTGTAAACACACTAGTGAGGGGACTGTACCTAGCTACGTGACTAGCCCCTGTAAAACACATTAGTGAAGGGACTGTACCAGGCTATATGACCAGCCCCTGTTAACACCTTTAGGGGACTGTACCTAGGCTATATGACTAGCCCCTGTAAACACAACAGTGAAGGGACTGTACCTAGGCTATATGACCAGCCCCTGTAAACACACTAGTGAGGGGGACTGTACTCTAGGCTATATGACCAGCCCTGTAAAACACACTAGTGAAGGACTGTACCTTGTAGGCTATATGACCAGCCCCTGTAAACACACTAGTGAAGGGACTGTACCTAGGCTATATGACCAGCCCCTGTAAACACACTAGTGAGGGGACTGTACCTAGGCTATATGACCAGCCCTGTAAACACACTTAGTGAAGGGTACCTAGGCTATATGACCAGCCCCTGTAAACACACCCAGTGAAGGACTGTACCCAGGCTATATGACCAGCCCCTGTAAACACACTAGTGAAGGACTGTACCTGGCTATATGACCAGCCCCTGTAAAACACACTAGTGAAGGGACTGTACCTAGGCTATATGACTAGCCCCTGTAAACACACCAGTGAAGGGACTGTACCCAGGCTATATGACCAGCCCCTGTAAACACACTAGTGAGGGGACTGTACCTAGGCTATATGACCAGCCCCTGTAAAACACACACTAGTGAGGGGACTGTACCTAGCTATATGACCAGCCCCTGTAAACACACTAGTGAGGGGACTGTACCTATGTTACAAGACCCTGTAAACACCAGTGAAGGGCCCTGTACCTTGTAGGCTATATGACCAGCCCCTGTAAACAACACAGTGAGGGGCCTGTACCTTGGAAGGAGACCAGCCCAAACTGATAACAACAGGAGGGGGGACTGTACCTAGGCTAGTATGACCAGCCTGTAAAACATACATGAAAAGGGACTGTACAAGGCTAATGACTCAGAATATACTAGGAGGGACTGTGCCTAGGCTAATGACCAGCCCTGTAAACACACTAGTGAAGGGACTGTACCTAGGCGACCAGCCCCTGTTAACACACTAGTGAAGGGGACTGTACCTAGGCTATATGACCAGCCCCTGTAAAAAACACTCCAGTGAAGGACCATGCCTAGGCTATATGACCAGCCCGTAAACACACTATGAAGGGAAGGGGACAGCCTAGAAGAAGACCAGCCCTGTAAACAACACCTAGTGAAGGGACTGTACCTAGGCTATATGACCAGCCCCTGTAAACACACTAGTGGGACTGTATCTAGCTATATGACCAGCCCTGTAAACACACTAGTGAAGGACTGTACCAGCTATATGACCAGTCCCTAAACACACTAGTGAAGGGGACTGTACTAGGCTATGCGACCAGCCCCTGTAAACACACAGTGAAGGGACTGTACTTATAGGCTATGACCAGTCCCTGTAAACACACCAGTGAAGGACTGAACCAGGCTATATGACCAGCCCTAAACACACTAGAGGACTGTATAGGCTATATGACCAGCCCCTGTAAACACACCAGTAGAGACTGTACTTAGGCTATATGACCAGCCCTGTAAACACACTAAAGGAGAGACAGGCTATAGACCAGCCTGTAACACTCAGTGAAGGACTGTATTAGGTGACCAGCCCCAAACACAATTGGACTTAGAATAAGACCAGCCCCTGTAAACACACTAGGGGGACTGTACCTGTACTAAGGACTAGCCCCTGTAAACACAAAAGTGAAGGACTGTACCTAGGTTAATATGACCAGCCCCTGTAAACACACTAGTGAAGGACTGTACCAGGCTATAGTCTATCTGATTGATAGCCAATTTCTAAACATTTTTACATTTTGTCATTCCTCTTAAACTTTTAATTCTAGTTTTTATTGATATAAAAATATAATTAAATAATTTATAAATTTGAAATTATGAAGGCAGTCAATATTTCTATAGTGAGTTATTGAATGTTGATGAATATAAGGCAGTCAATATTTCTATAAAGCGAGTTATTGAATGTTGATTATAATTATAGATATGAAAATTATATACCAAAATACGTTTTTTTATTTATTCATTGACTGTATTTAGTTATTTTATTTATGTACATACCTGCATCCCGTCACACACACACACACACACACACACACACACACACACACACACACACACACACACACACACACACACACACACACACACACACACACACACACACACACACACACACACACACACACACACTACTCACACCACACACACACTACTCACACCACACACACCACACCACACACACCCACCCCACTACCTACCTGACGAGGGAGGTGACGACCTGTAGCTGCTGTGCCTCACCCAGGTCAGTCTTGTTCAGAATCAACAGGTCAGCCAGAGCCACCTGTCTATGGGGTGACAGGTACTTAAGTTCAGGTCCAGCAGGTCAGTTCAGGTCCACTAACAAGACCTTAATTATCACTACCTTACCTGACCTAAGTTAACCTAACCTAACACTAATCTAACCTAAGATAAGATAACCTAACCTAACCTAACCTAACTTAACATTAATCTAACTTAAGTTAACCTAACCTAACTTAACACTAACCTAGCATAACTTAACACTAACCTAACTTAACTTAACATTAATCTAACTTAAGTTAACTTAACCTAACTTAACACTAACCTAGCATAACTTAACACTAAATCCTAACTTAAACTAACTTAACCTAATATAACGGGATTAAGTTAACTCACCTAACAGCCTCGTTAACTCCTCCCTCGGGCTTCTTCTCGTTAATATTCTTTAAGTTAAAAAATAATTCAACATTCATTAACTTTTTACTGTTGAGTAGTTGGGAGGTTATAGACCACAGTATAGGATGACTACTGTTGTGTTGGGAGGTTATGCTTGCAGTATGGGATGACTACTGTTGTGTTGGGAGGTTATAGACCACAGTATGGGATGACTACTGTTGTGTTGGGAGGTTATAGACCCAGTATAGGATGACTACTGTTGTGTTGGGAGGTTATAGACCACAGTATAGGATGACTACTGTTGTGGTGGGAGGGTTATAGACCACAGTATAGGATGACTACTGTTGTGTTGGGAGGTTATAGACCACAGTATGGGATGACTACTGTTGTGTTGGAGGGGTTATAGACCTACAGTATAGGATGACTACTGTTGTGTTGGGAGGTTATAGACCACAGTATAGGACTGACTACTGTTGTGTTGGGAGGTTATAGACCACAGTATAGGATGACTACTGTTGTGTTGGGAGGTTACAGACCACAGTATAGGATGACTACTGTTGTGTTGGAGTAAGACCACAGATGGATGACTACTGTTGTGTTGGGAGGTTATAGACCATATAGATGACTACTGGTGTTGGGAGGTTATAGACCACAGTATGGATGACTACTGTGTTTGGAGGTTATAGACCACAGTATAGGGATGACTACTGTTGTGTTGGGGGTTATAGACCACAGTATAGGATGACTACTGTTGTGTTGGGAGGTTATAGACCACAGTATAGGATGACTACTGTTGTGTTGGGAGGTTATAGACCACAGTATGGATGACAACTGTTGTGTTGGGAGGTTATAGACCACAGTATAGGATGACTACTGTTGTGTTGGGAGGTTATAGACCACAGTATAGGATGACTACTGTTGTGTTGGGAGGTTATAGACCACAGTCAGATGACTACTGCTGTGTTGGGAGGTTATAGACCACAGTATAGGATGACTACTGTTGTGTTGGGAGGTTATAGACCACAGTATAGATGACTACTGTTGTGTTGGGAGGTTATAGACCACAGTATAGGATGACTACTGTTGTGTTGGGATATAGACCACAGTATAGGATGACTACTGTTGTGTTGGGAGGTTATAGACCACAGTATAGGATGACTACTGTTGTGTTGGGAGGTTATAGACCACAGTATGGGATGACTACTGTTGTGTTGGGAGGTTATAGACCACAGTATAGGATGACTACTGTTGTGTTGGGAGAGTTATAGACCACAGTATAGGATGACTACTGTTGTGTTGGGAGGTTATAGACCACAGTAAAGGATGACTACTGTTGTGTTGGGAGGTTATAGACCACAGTATAGGATGACTACTGTTGCGTTGGGAGGGTTATAGACCACAGTATAGGATGACTACTGTTGTGTTGGAGGTTATAGACCACAGTATAGGATGACTACTGTTGTGTTGGGAGGGTTATAGACCAGTATAGATGACTACTGTTGTGTTGGGAGAGTTATAGACCACAGTATAGATGACTACTGTTGTGTTGGGAGGGTTATAGACCACAGTATAGGATGACTACTGTTGGGGAGGTTATAGACCACAGCATAGGATGACTACTGTTGTGTTGGGAGGGTTATAGACCACAGTATAGGATGACTACTGTTGGGAGGTTATAGACCACAGTATAGGATGACTACTGTTGTGTTGGGAGGTTATAGACCACAGTATAGGATGACTACTGTTGGGAGGGTTATAGACCACAGTAGGATGACTACTGTGTTGGAGGTTATAGACCACAGTATAGGATGACTACTGTTGTGTTGGGAGGTTATAGACCAGGTATAGGATGACTACTGTTGTGTTGGGAGGTTATAGACCACAGTATAGGATGACTACTGTTGTGTTGGGAGGGTTTTAGACCACAGTATAGGATGACTACTGTTGTGTTGGGAGGTTATAGACCACAGTATAGGATGACTACTGTTGTGTTGGGAGGGTTATAGACCACAGTATAGATGACTACTGTTGTGTTGGGAGGTTATAGACCACAGTATAGGATGACTACGTTGTGTTGGGAGGGTTATAGACCACAGTATAGGATGACTACTGTTGAGGTTATAGACCACAGTATAGATGACTACTGTTGTGTTGGGAGGGTTATAGACCACAGTATGGATGACTACTGCAGGTTGGGAGGTTATAGACCACAGTATAGATGACTACTGTGTGTTGGGAGGGCTATAACCACAGTATAGGATGACTACTGTGTTGGGAGGTTATAGACCACAGTATAGGATGACTACTGTTGTGTTAGGAGGTTATAGACCACAGTATAGGATGACTACTGTTGTGTTGGGAGGTTAAGAACGCCAGTATAGGATGACTACTGTTGTGTTGGGAGGTTATAGACCACAGTATAGGATGACTACTGTTGTGTTGGGAGGTTATAGACCACAGTATAGATGACTACTGTTGTGTTGGGAGGTTATAGACCACAGTATAGGATGACTACTGTTGTGTTGGGAGGGTTATAGACCACAGTATAGGATGACTACTGTTGTGTTGGGAGGTTATAGACCACAGTATAGGATGACTACTGTTGTGTTGGGAGGGTTATAGACCACAGCAGGATGACTACTGTTGTGTTGGGAGGTTATAGACCACAGTATAGGATGACTACTGTTGTGTGGGAGGTTAAGACCACAGTATAGGATGACTACTGCTGTGTTGGGAGGTTATAGACCACAGTATAGGATGACTACTGTTGTGTTGGGAGGTTATAGACCACAGTATAGGATGACTACTGTTGTGTTGGGAGGTTATAGACCACAGTATAGATGACTATTGTTGTGTTGGGAGGTTATAGCACAGACAGGATGACTACTGTTGGGAGGTTATAGACCACAGTATAGATGACTACTGTTAAGCGACGGGAGGAGGAGAGCAGGAGGAGGAGGAGGAGGAGCAAGAGAGGGGAGGGGGAGAGGAGGAGGAAGAGGAGGAGGAGGAGGAGGAGGAGGTGAGGAGGAGGAGGAGGAGGAGGAGGAGGAGGAGGAGGAGGAGGAAGAGGAGGAGGAAGAGGAGGAGGAGGAAGGAGGAGAGAAGAGGAGGAGGAGGGAAGAGGAGGAAGAGGGAGGAGGAGGAGGAGGAGGAGGAGGAGGAAGAGGAGGAGGAGGAGGAGGAGGAGGAGGAGGAGGAAGAGGAGAGGAGGAGGAAGAGGAGAGAGGAGGAGGAGGAAGAGGAGGAGGGAGGAGGAGGAAGAGGAGGAGGAAGAGGAGGAGGAGGAGAGGAGGATGAGAAAGAGAGGAGGAGGAGGAGGAGGAAGAGGGAGGAGGAGGGGGAGGGAGGAGGAGGAGGAGGGGAGGGAGGAGGAGAGAGGAGGAGGAGGAGGGAGAGGGAGGAGGGGGAGGGGGAGGAGGAGGAAGAGGAGGAGAGGAGGGAGAGGAGGAGGAGGGAGGAGGAGGGAGGAGGAGGAGGAGAGGAGGGGAGGAGGAGGAGGGAGGAGGAGGAGGAGGAGGAGGAGGAGGAGGAGGAGGAGGAAGAGGAGGAGGAGGGAAGAGGAGGGAGGAGGGAAGAGGAGGAGGGAAGAGGGAGGAGGAGAGGAGAGGGGAGAGGAAGAGGAGGAGGAGGAGGAGGAAGAGAGGAGGAGGGGAGGATGAGGGAGGAGAGCAGGAGAGGAGGAGGGGAGGAGGAGGAGGAGGAGGGGAGGAGGAAGAGGAGGAGGAGGGAGGAGAAGAGGAGGAGGAGGAAGAGGAGGAGGAGGAAGAGGAGGAGGAAGAGGAGGAGGGAGGAGGAGAGGAGGAAGAGGAGGAGAGGAGGAGGAGGAGGAGGAGGAGGAGGAAGAGGAGGAGGAGGAGGAGGAGGGGGAGGAGAGGAAGAGGAGGAGGAGGGAGGAGGAAGAGGAGGGGGAGGAGGAGGGGAGGAGGAGGAGGAGAGGGGAGGAGAGGAGGAAGGGAGGGAGGAGAGAGGAGGAGGAAGAGGGAGGAGGAGGAGGAGGGAGAGAGGAGGAGGGGAGGAGGGAGAGGAGGAGGAGGAGGAGGAGAAGAGGAGGAAGAGGGGAGGAGGAAGAGAGGAGGAGGGGAAGAGGGGAGGAGAAGGAGGAAGAGGGAGGAGGAGGAGGAGGAGGAAGAGGAGGAGGAGGAAGAGGAGGAGGAGGAAGAGGGAGAGGAAGAGAGGAGGAGGAGGAAGAGGAGAGGAGGAGGAGGAGGAAGAGGAGGAGGAGGAGGAGGAGGAGGAGGAGGAAGAGAGGAGGAGGAGGAGGAGGAAGAGGAGGAGGAGGAGGAAGAGAGGAGAGGAAGAGGAGGAGGAAGAGGGAGGAGGAAGAGGAAGAGGAGGAGGAGGAGGAGGAGAAGAGGAGGAGGAAGAGGAGGAGGAGGAAGAGAGGAGGAGGAGGAAGAGGAGGAGGAGGGGAAGAGCAGGAGAGGAGGAGGAGGAGGAGAGGAGGAGGAGGAAGAGGAGGAGGGAGGGAGGAGGAGGAGGAAGGAGGAGGGAGGAAGAGGAGGGAGGAGGAGGAGGAAGAGGGGAGGGAGAGAGGAGGAGGAGGAGAGGGAGAGAGGGAGGAGGGAGCAAGGGGAGGGAGAGGAGGAAGAGGGAGGGAGGGGAGGAAGAGGAGAGGAGGAAGAGCAGAAAGAGGAGGAGGAGGAGGGAGGAGGAGGAGGAGGGAGGAAGAGGGAGAGGGAGAGAGGAGGGGAGGAGGAGAGGGAAGAGGGGAGGAGGAGGGGAGGAGGAGGAGGGGAGGAGGAGCAAGAGGAGGGGGAGGGGAGAGGAGGAAGAGGAGGAGGAGGAAGAGGATGAGGAGGAAGAGGAGATGAGAAAGAGGAGGAGGAAAGAGGAGGAGGAAGAGGAGGAGGGGAGGGGAGGAGGAGGAAGAGGAGGAGGAGGGGGAGGAGGAGGAAGAGGAGGGGAGGGAGAGGAGGAGGAGGAGGAGGAAGAGGAGGAGAGGAGGAGGAGGAGGAAGAGGAGGAGGAGGAGGGAGGAGGAGGGAGGAGAGGAGGAGGAGGAGGAGGAGGAAGAGGAGGAGGAGGAAGAGGAGGAGGAGAGGAAGAGGAGGAGGAGGAAGAGGAGGAGGAAGAGGAGGAGGAGGATGAGAGGAGGAGCAGGAAGAGAGGGGAGGAGGAGGAGGGAGGGAGGAGGGGAGGGAGGATGAGGAGGAGGAGCAGGAAGAGGGAGGAGGGGAGGAGGAGAGGAAGAGGAGGAGGGAGGAGGAGGAGGAGGAGGAGGAGGAGGAAGAGGGGAGGAAGAGGAGGAGGAGAGGAGGAGGGAGGAGGAGGAGAGAGGAGGAGGGAGGAGGGGAGGGAAGAGGGAGGAGGAGGAGGGGGGAAGAGGAAGAGGAGCAGGAAGAGGAGGAGGAGGAGGAGGAGGAGGAGGAGGAAGAAGGAGGAGGAGGAGGAGGAGGAGGAGGAGGAGGAGGAGGAGGAGGAGGATGAGGAGGAGGAAGAGAAGAGAGGAGGAGGAGGAGCAGGAAGAGGAGGAGGAGGAGGAAGAGGGGAGGAGGAGGAAGAGAGAGGAAGAGGAGGAGGAAGAGGAGAGGAAGGGGAGGAGGAGGAAGAGGGGGAGGGAGGAGGAGGAAGAGGAGGAGGAGGAGGAGGAAGAGGAGAGGAGGAAGAGAGGAGGAGGAAGAGAGGGAAGAGGAGGGGAGGAGGAGGAGGAGGAAGAGGAGGAGGAGGAGGAGGAGGAAGAGAGGAGGAGGGGAGGAGGAAGAGGAGGAGGAGCAGGGAGGAGGAGGAAGAGGAGGAGGAAGAGGGGAAGAGAGGAGGGAGGAGGAGGAGGAGGAGGAGAGGAGGAGGAGAGGAGGAGGAGGGAGGAGCAGGAAGAGGAGGAGCAGGGAGGAGGGAGGAGGAGGAGGGAGGAGGAGGGGGGAGGAGGAGCAGAGGAGGGGAGGGGGAGGAGAGCAAGAGGAGGGGAGGGGAGGAGGAGGAAGAGGAGGAGGAGGAAGAGGAGGAGGAGGGGAGGAGAGGGAGGGGGAGGAGAGGAGGAGCAGGAAGAGGAGGAGGAGGAGGAAGAGGAGGAGGAGGAGGAAGGAGGGGAGGAGCAGGAAGAGGAGGAGGAGGAAGAGGAGGAGGAGGAGGAGGAGGAGGGAGGAGGAGGAGGAGGAGGGGGAGGAGGAGCAAGAGGAGGAGGGGAGGAGGAGCAAGAGGAGGGGAGGAGGAGGAGGAAGGAGGAGGAGGAGGAGGAAGAGGAGGAGGAGGAAGAGGAGGAGGAGCAGGAAGAGGAGGAGGAGGGAGGAAGAGGGAGGAAGAGGAGGGAGGGAGGAGGAAGAGGAGGGAGGGAGGAAGAGGAGGAGGGGAAGAGAGGAGGGGAGGGAGAAAGAGGAGGGGGAGGGGGAGGAGGAGGAAGAGGAAGGGAGGAGGGAGGAGGAAGAGGGGAGGAGGAGGAGGGAGCAGGAAGAAAGGAGGAGGAGGAGGAGGAGGGAGGAAGAGGAGGGGAGGAAGAGGGAGAGGAAGAGGAGGAGGAAGAGAGGATGAGGAGGAGGAGGAAGAGGAGGAGGAAGAGAAGAGGAGGAGAGGAAGAGGAGGAGGAGGAGGAGGAGGGGAGGAACAAAAAACAAATGAGGAATAAGAGTAAAAACAACAGGTAGTGGGTCAAGACAACAGGTAGGGGTTAAGACAACAGGTAGTGGGGTCAAAACAACAGGTAGTGGGTCAAGACAACAGGTAGTGGGTCAAGACAACAGGTAGTGGGTCAAGACAACAGGTAGTGGGTCAAACAACAGGTAGTGGGTCAAAACAACAGGGCAGACAACAGGTAGTGGGTCAAAACAACAGGTAGTGGGTCAAAACAACAGGTAGTGGGTCAAGACAACAGGTAGTGGGTCAAAACAACAGGTAGTAACAAAACAACAGGTAGACAAAAACAACAGTAGGCAAAAAACAGGTAGTGGCTGCACAACAGGTAGGGGTCAAAACAACAGGTAGTAAAATAAAACAACAGGTAGTGGGTCAAAATAACAGGTAGGGGTCAAGACAACAGGTAGGGTCAAGACAACAGGTAGTGGGTCAAGACAACAGGTAGTGGAGTCAAGACAACAGGTAGTGGCAAAACAACAGGTAAGTGGGTCAAACAACAGGTAGTGGGTCAAAACAACAGGTAGTGGAGTCAAACAACAGGTAGTGGTCAAAACAACAGGTAGTGGGTCAAGACAACAGGTAGTGGGTCAAGACAACAGGTAGTGGGTCAAGACAACAGGTAGTGGGTCAAGACAACAGGTAGGGTCAAGACAACAGGTAGTGGGTCAAGACAACAGGTAGTGGGTCAAGACAACAGGTAGTGGGCTAAGGCAGAAAAAACAAACCTTGTCAGCATATTTGCGTCGAGGACAGTGATGATGCCATGGAAAGAGGAAAGAAACAGTGTGAATTAAAAGTTAGGTGATGACAACACTCCTGACACCATACTTGTGACACTACCCACAAACACACCACCATCCTCCTGACACTATACTTGTGACACCACACTAACACCATCTCCTGACACCATACTTAGACACATCTCCTACACTACTTCTCACACACCATCCTCCTGACACCACATTTTATGAAACCATCTCTGACACCATACATTTGACACCATCTCCTGACACACCATACTTGAGACACCATCCTCCTGACACATACTCATGAAACTATCTCTGGACACCATACTTGTGACACTATCTCCTGACACCATACTTAAGACACTATCTCCTGACACCATACTTATGATACCATCTCTCACACAGCACTTAGGACACTATCTCCTGACACCATACTTTGTGACACTATCTCTTCTGGACACCATACTTTGTGACACTATCTCTTCCTGGGACAACACCATACTAGACACCATACTAGGACACTATCTTCCTGGGACAATTAAGGCTTTGTGACACTATCTTCCTGGACACCATACTTGGGGACACTATCTCTCGACACTATACTTAGGACACTATCTTCTGACACTATATTTGTGATACTATCTTCCTGACACTATACTTTGTATACCATTCTTGACACTATGTTACTTGTGACACCATCTCCCTGACACCATACTTGTGACACCATTCTGGACACCATACACTTCAGACACCATCCCCTGACACCATACCAGGACACCATCCTCCCTGACACCACTTGTGACACCATCTCCTGACACCATACTTGGTAGGACACCATCTCCCTGACACCATACTTTGTGACACCATCTCTGGACACTACACGGTGACACCATTCTTCCTGACACTATACTTAGGACACTATCTTCCTGACACTATATTTGTGACACTATCTTGGACACCATACTTGTGATACATCTTCCTGACACCATGTTACTTGTGACACTCATTCCTGACACTATACTTTGTGACACTATCTCTTCCTGGACACCATACTTTTGTATTACCATCTCCTGACAATTATACTTAGACACTATCTCCTGGACACCATCTCTGTGACACCATCCCTGGACACCACATTTAGACACCATCCTCCTGACACAGACTACACCAGACACCATCCTCCTGACACCATACTTGTGACACCTCTCACCCCAAGGAGTTGCAGCCTAAGTGATGCATATGCCTCTGGCACATCAAAATACAGGGACTACTATGTTTACCAAGCCAGTTTTAACTGAGCACTTCAAGACAATGCAGAAATGAAGTGTAAAGGAAGACATGATGGCGAACTTTGTATCATGTCACAATGGTTGGCCAATTGGGCTAGTAATAAGATGAAATGTCTGAGAATAACCACTATGTATCAGACAGATCATCATGTAATGTTATGAACGCCATTTTCTGTAGGTTTTGACCACATCAGTAAACATAAATGCGTCAAAAAGAGCCAATCATTCCATTCGACTTGCCTGTCACCCGAACGACCATCACTACAGTGAGTACATATTAGCCACAACACAGCAACATAAGTAAATTTGGTTGCTGACACTCAAATTAGACGTTATTAAATCTGGACGAGACCCACACAAACTGCTACAGGAAGATCTAAACAAATTTTTCGAATGGTCTGAAAAATGCAGATGAAATTAATGTGACAAAAATGTAAAGTACCTGTATAGAGATGTAAATAGGAAACAAGTTACCAGATGAACAACGATGTTATTGAGAAATCTGAGCACGAGAGAAAGATGAGAGTAATGATAAGTAGAATTTTAAACTATGAACAATGGGTATTAGCTGGGGAACAAGGTTAATAAAGTACAGTACTTAAGTTCATACAAAGGAGTGTTAGTTACATTCGAAGGAGGTCATCTAAAACTATAGCCTTGTGCTTGTTAGACTCACGGATTACGCAGTTCAGAGAATTTACCACAGCAATACGCACCGAAACGAAGTATGCCTG